TGTTGTTAACAGCCTCCAGGGTACAACTTTCCAGGGTTTGGCTTCAGTCCTTGGCCTGGATAGCTCAGCGGTCTCAGTTACGCATGTTGCGTAATTTCTCAGAATTCATACGCAGTTCTCAATGCAGTGGCCGCCTTCACTCAGCAGTTTTCAAGTTTTCACAACGTCTCGGGGTGTAGCAGGGGAGGGTTTTGGGCTATGCCTCAGGGCTACCGGCTAATTGCAAAGCCTAACAGATCCATCACGGTAAAAGAATGCTGCGAGCTTGACCCGAATTGCTGCTGTTGACATGCTCGCTGTAGTCATGGTCGTGAACGGAACGATTTCGACAAGTTGTAATTTGTGACATGTCGAACCTTGTCGTATGACATTATGTATGTGCTTGAAAACGGACCATGCTATCATGTCACATTCTACACGAGTGTTTGACTGATGGTCGGGATACCTTTGTGGGAACACTTCACAGGAATGCGTTCACAAATGCCAAAAATGGGAAGACCAGTAATGTTGAGGGTTGTTGAGCATTGTTGCAAGCTGATGGAGTGTTGGAATCTGATCATACGAATGTCGCAGCTGGACCAAGTCTGAGAAGCCAAACGATGCAACTGTGTGTCGCCTATCAGCATTAAAGACCGGGATCGCTTGCAGCCCGATGGTACGAGGTGCATGAGCAGCTGTGTTAATTTGGTTGTCGCAGCTTGAAGAGAATTGTTCGTCTGTCGAATGGCATCAGAGCATGCTGATGGGTTGCGCGCTTGCACATAAGCTGCGGCGTTCATGGCCCTCGCCAAATTCAGTGAGGCCTTGCTTTGGCTTGTGACTGGCAATGCTTTGTGCTCAGTCGGAGCTCGATACACATGTCACGTGCTTGATGTTGAAGGATTTGACCAGAGCGCTGAAGGAGCAGGGAACTCCAGTGGCGGTTGCCTTAGTTGGCATAAATCCCAAAAGGAGACTCGATGAGTTGATCCTGTTTTCAGACTCCGAGCCGTGAGGAATCAGCATTGGATAGTCCTGAAGACACTCCTTGCCACCGACTGACAGAAGGCAGTACTGCTCGATTGTTGATTGTTCGGAGCGCTGACCGTACATGTTTGTTGGCCGTGCGACACGCTGACGGACTGCGTGATTACACACGGTTCTGGTACTGCAAGGACGCTTTCGTTTCATGCGCATTTGACGTTGCTTGCCGTCCAGATGTTGGTTTTGACATCTTTGCTCACTTCCGTGGATTGCGAGGATCTCAGACTTTGACTCTTAGAGCATTGCAGCACGTCTCCAAAAGCAGCAGAAGCAATTGGTGGAAGTCGCAAGTTTTTGCTAAATGCAGAGTCAGAGGCACTGTTTGTCTGTTTGAAGCATGACTGCAAATGTCCAGAACTTTCGAACCGGCGCATGTGTCAAGGTCTACATATTGATTGCGTTTTGCTTTTGAGCTGTCATTGTGTCGCAGCCAACTGTTGGCAGTTCGACGACTGTCGTTCGTTTCTCCGAATTGGATTCTCTTATGCCAGGCAGACTGCCAACGCACAAGCATCGGCATCAACCAGCGCTCAGCGAAACGAAGCACAGAAGCGGTGCCAACCCACACCTAGGCAAACTGCGACATCGGCTTGGTCGGGAACGCCAAAAGGGTGGCTTTACGGGCCTCCCAACGTGCCTTTGTCTCATTCCATGGCACTGCGCAGGTGTAGCGACCACGAGCCCACGAAGGACGATGAGAACGAGCCCCCGGAGAGTGAACGCCCGTCGCCGCATGTTTTGGTGCTTTAATGATCCGAGACATCATGTTGCTGTTGAACCCAAGGCCCGTCTTCGCATTTCCTTTTCGGCGGCGCTTGCAGCTGCCTCGGTGCATGGGGCTTTGCATCAGCGGCGGAATCTTGCGGATAATCCTGAGATTCGGTCAACTGAATAATGTCAGGCCTGCGGCCACACACCGATGGCAGTAGGGCGCTGAGCGCCAATTGTCAGGTGTTTGGGGGGGTGGTCAGTGATCATTGTTTTTACAGAAGCTTACCTTTTGCCCTCGCAGGGCTTTTTAGGAGAGTCACGTGATGCCTCGAAAGTTGCAGTGACTCAGGCTTGGGCGCCCGGTCGGTTGAGGAGCGAGCCCGGGCCCAAGACTTTCATTGCCATGTGCTGTGAGGAGACCTGAGACCTATCGAGCTCGAAGCAGAGTCGAAGCTCTAAGCGGGGGCTCTGCTCAGGTCGAGTCCGGCCGGCGCCTGCGCGAGCGAACGCGAGAGCCGAAGGAGCCAAGGGAGCCAGGCAAAGCCACACCACCGCAACAGAAACACGTCGTCCCTACAGCAGAGCTCTCACGTGGCGTAGTGTGGGATTTCATGGTAATACCCGTTATTACCCGTTTGCAGGGCAGTTTTCAGAATCGCGGAAGCATGTGACCTCCGATGCGGCCTGGCGCTCGAATCCGTGATTGACGGCTGGTGTGTAGTCGAGCATGCAGCCCGAGGCATCGGCGCTAATGCGCCGAGCAGCTGCAGCGGTCAAAGAGTAGAGGCCAGAGCCAGTCTGCATCCAGTTGCAGATGTTGCAATCGCATTCGGTTTGAGATGGTTTCAGGTTCTTTGCCAAAGCCTGCTGTGAGGCAGGGCGCTGGAGGTGGTTTCTAGGCCTAGGAAGTTCCTCCAAAGGAGAGAAGCGGCAACAAGACTGCGCTACTGCCAACCTTCTGTGCGGCGCGTGGAAAAATAGTCACTGGATGCATAAATTTGCATGTGAACAGGTGAACTAGTTGGAGTCAGATTTCGTCTCGATGGAACGAGTGATGCCAACATGCGTTTATTCTTGGGGCTGGTCTTGCCGTGCCTTACAGCTGCCGGTTATCGTGGTCGTCCTGGTCGTTGTCTTATCGTGGTCATGAGCGCGCGGGGACTTCGGAGAACCGCAGAGAGGCTGCACAAAACCCTGGCCCCTCCCCGTGTGTCCGTTCACATTGCTCGCCCGAAGCCCAAATTGGCTCTCAGAGTTCATGCAGAGTCTCTTGACTCTCGCATCGCTGCCCTCGGCGCAGAGTTCCCGCGCCGGGGCACATACTGCTGTTGCCCATGCGTGGGCAGTTTTGCTTGTTTACCGTCCTATGTTGGCTGCGTGGAAGTGCCCTGGTTGCTTTACGGCTACATCTGGGACAGGGCGGGGAAAGTGGCTGGGATGAGATCTAGTTTAGTTTAGATCGGGTCTGCCAGACCTCGCCCTGTGCTTCAGTAAAGCTTGAGGCAACACACCTGTAGACCTTTTCTAAGACTGTGCAGTTGCGCTGACGAATCTGTAGATGCAGCATGAGATTGCTTTGCGAGGCGCCGTCGACATTGACCAGTGCGAGGAGGTTTCAAGGCCTGCGGGCACCGGCCTGCTCCAGGCCAAGTCACACCTGGACCCCAGCACCTCAGCAGAATCTAACTCCGAATTGGCATGGCGGCCACGCCATGTCGTGTTGAGCTCAGGCCGGCTGCAAGAGGTTGAGTCGGAGTCGGACCTTGCGATCCTGGGCGAGAGCTGGCAAGGTGCCTTGCAACTTCAGGAGCCCGTCCATGCGATTTGTGCACAGCGGTTCTGTGATTTTTCCTTGGCAGGAGCTTGGTGCTAACAACAGCCTCAACCGACTCGCTGCTCAGTGCCGAAAGGACAAGGCCCGCAAGGCTAAGGCGCAGGTTCCCAGGGTGCCGCTGGAGGTGGCCCAGCAGCTCCGGGAAGTCGCAAGGGCGGACGTGATCCGAGTCAGAGACGGCGATCCCTGTCCGGGAGAGATCACGCTGTGGCAGTTCTTTCACAACGAAACCAGCACAAGCTGAAACTCGCCTTGGTTTCAGCTCGTAACTTGCTGCCCTTCGTTTGCATTCGGAATTATTTCATTTATTTTCAACTGAGGCTGCCCCAGCAACTCCACGGATTGCGCAGGTTGCGCAATGTTCTCGGCCGGGAAATGCCAGAAGTGCGAGGATGGTTATCTCCGTCAAAACGGTACATGTGTGGCATGCCTCAGCACCATCGACTGGGTCAACGAGAAGGGGGAATCTTGCGACCGGATCAAGGAGGAGGACTGCAACGACAGGCCCGTGAACGGTCAGAGCAGCAAGCAGGCTTGCTGCAACTGCAACGGTGGGCACAAGAGCCCAACGCCATTCAAGTATGCGGACAAGCGATTTGCCGTAGGTGTTCCCATCTATTTGGAGCCGTTGCCCCGAACGGCCACGAGGTATTCAGTGAATGGCGAGTGTAACTTGGCTGCCTACAACTTGACGCTCGATGGTAGCACTGGTATGATTTCCTACCAGGGATCCATGGCTCCCCCCGTCAAGGCCTTTTCTGTGCAGTGCGAGGTCACGGCACACGAGGGAGTCGGTCTTTCGGAGACGGTGAAGGTGTCGGTGACTGCTGAACACATGACGTACTCGTCTGCTGTTCTTGTCTTCTCCCAGAAGACGTCATCCTACCCCGTCGCGTCTTCGGGCACACTGCAGGATTTCAGTATGGTGTGTGCGCCGGAACAGCCGTGGCTCTCCGTCGATGCCTCCGGCACCGTCACCGCCTCTCAGGCCAGTGCCCAAACCGTCGGCGGCGTCACTGACGCGGGGGAGGACTACTCGGGGATGGACGGCGGTGTCTGTGTGGTGACAGCCACTGGCAGCAACAGCACCACCAAGAGGACTGCCACTTTCGCGGCCATCCGACCCCGGCCGTGGCCAGAGTTGGTCTACGAGTCCTCCTATGCAGAGGTGGTCATCGGTGAGCAGCTGCCGCCTTTGAAGCTGCAGACGCCCAAAGGATACGAAGAAGGCAGAGGGGGACTCAAGCCGACCTCCTTCGTGATCTCCTGCACAGTTGGAGATCCGATATGGTCCTACGACCGCAATTGGGGTGTGGGCCTGTTGCAGAATCATCAGATTCTCGAAGTTGCACCTGACGGGAGCATCGCTCTCGCGCCCGGCGAGAGCATGGCCCAGATGTTCGATGAGATACCGGCCTACCAGGCCCATCGAAAGAATTTTCAAATGCGCTGTGGAGTGTACGGTCTTTTCCCCGGGACGGACTTCCAACCAATCTTCACTCAGATGATCTTCAATGTGAAGGACAGCAAGTGCTGGGTAAAGGAGCAGATCGTCGGCGAAGTCATCTGGGAGGAGCATACCACTGAAGAGACGCACTGTCGACAGTTCTGCCGTCTATCGAAGGTCTGCTCTCATTTCACCTTTGCTGATGACACCTGCAAGCACTACCGAATCAACAACGTGGACGGGACATCGGTAATGACCTATGCCAAGGTCACAGACTGCACGGACCTTTCAACCTGCATCCGGTTGAAGCATCCTGAATGGGTTGTTGCCGGCGACTACTGTCCCGTGGAGTACGACATCCGCCGTGGAGGCCCTGTGTATCGGAAGGACAGCTTGATCCCACAGGAGGTGATGTATCTCGCCAGTGTGCCGAGTGGTTCCACGGCTCAGTGTGCGACAGGAAGCTGGCTGGTGCAAAGGGCGAGACCCGAGGCGGATTACGTGGACACAAAGCTGGGCTACTTCGAGTTGGCTGGTGAAGAGATGCTCTGCCTGGAGCCAGGGGTTCCCAGCGCGAAGAACACCACAGACACCACCGGCCAGGACTTCACCATCTCGCTGGACTGGGCCACCTTAGCATGTCCACAGCCACTAACCCACGAAGTGGAAGATGATGTGCTTCATCCTCTCGTCTTCGACGATCCGACGACGCTCCAACCGGACGACTACTGGCTGCACCCCTGCGACTGCGTTCCACCTGGCTGGGGGTTGGGCTTTCCTGCAAATGCTCTAGTTGCAGAGGGCCTTCCTCCTGCGAGCGATGGTTCCGGACTCAGCCATCAACCGCTGCTGCGTGTGGTCCCGCTTATGCAGTAGGCTGGCGGATGCTGCTGACATTGTAAGGTGCCTTCATTCCGCCGCCGTTGCTTATTGTTCAAGGCCAGTTCGCATGCCCCTCCAGGCCGGAGTGATTGTGGCGTGTCAGGGGCAGTTGCTGTCGTCGGGTCACCAGGCAGCTCCTTCCGGGGAAGAGGGGCATCTACTTCGAGACAGAGGCGCCCGCTCCGCGGACCACGCAAAGCTGAGCGCACGTTTTTTGTTTCTTCGCCAGGCCGAGGCCTTCGAGAAAGCAGACTGCCAGGAGCGGTGCAAAGACTTCGCCGCGTGCTGAGGGTTGAGTTCACGGCGGAAGCTGGAGCAGTGGAGTACAGTGCAGCGCTGAGAAAATGTGCAGCTCAGGTGGACTGTGCCTTCTACTGGACCGGCATCTTGATTACAGCAAGTTGCAGCACTGGCTGTAGGAATTGAGCTTTCTGAGGCACCTCGCATGGAGCTCAAACATGCCGGCTCTTCAACGGATGCGACAGCTTGGTACGGGAGTTCGGCATCGATGGCGATCTCTACGCCCTGCAGCGCCCTCGCCCTTGCACGGAGTGAACCGTGAATCCGCTTCGCTGTGAGGCCCTCGAACGCGAGCTGCCTGGTGGCGAATCCGGAGCACTGCTGGAAGACGACGATGCGGAGGCAGAGAGTGAACACGAGGAAGTGGTGAATGGCGCGGGTTCACAAGGGATCCAAGGTTGTCGGGAGTGGGGGACAAGCCTGCCTTTTGGACAGGCAGTTCCTGACTCAGACCCAGAGCGTATCGCCAAGCTTCACGCTCTCTACCGGCCTCTTCAACCAAGGACAAGTGCATCAAATCTAATGTGCAAGACTGCCTTCCAGAGCACGGGAACTCTGTACCACAGGAGGCTTAGCCGACTTCCAGGGCAATGCCTCCCGATTGTTGAACCGCGAGGACACCTACGAGGACTGGGCGGTGGCGAGACATGTGCCCGAGAAGCTGCTTGTGGGCTGGAAGCAAGGAGAAAATGGGAGAGATGTCCACCGTGAAGCTGCTGGGATGGACCGAGATCTTCAAGCCCTTCGGGTATGCCACTTTGCCCACAGCCACAGCTTTGTATGCCGGCAGCTCTCGCCCTGAATCCCTGAAGCTCACCTCAGCGAGGTGAGAGCCATTGGAGGTCTTGCGAGCGCAACAGTGCAGGGTCTGAACCCAAACCAGGAGCTTGCATTCTTTTGCATCCGGATTCTGCACAGACAGTCGTTGGCTCATTCCGCTCGTAGAATGTATGGGTGTTGTTTCCCGAGGAGTACGAGTGGAGTCTTCTCACCCGCAGCAACCAGAGGCAGGTCAACCACAAAGTGGCAGCAACCCGGACCAGAAATTCTCAGACCCCGTGCAGACATCGGCCTCCTTTGCAGAAATGATCCGTGGTCAGCTGAGGTGAACCATGGCCCGCAGATGACCCTGTCTCAGAAGGAGTCTTCTCAAGCAACGGCGATGAAGTGACTCCGAAAAGAATTTGCTTGGTGAGCCTTGATCCGGTGCCCATGTCGACGCTTGCGACAGCGGGTGGCTGCGGGTGGCTGAGGCAAGGGAAGTCCACCTCAACTCCTCGAGGAGAGATGGTCTTCGATTTCGAAGCCAGCGAGTTTTCCTTGGCGCCGCAGGCTCTGAGAGCGGAGAGCAGCCACGGCCCGAGGGTGACCGTACTGACCAGCCCCCACACACACCCAGTAGCTACGGGTTGTCCACCCGTGGGGTCAGTGCTTCACTAGGCCGCAATGCACAGCTGAACAAGCCGCTAAATAGGATCTTCGAAGCGGGACATCATCCAGCATCGCTTCCCAGAGCTGCCCTTCGGGCACGACAGTTGCTGGGCAGCATGCTTTCGGGCTTCCGTTCAGATGTGCTGCCAGTTGAGAAGGATCCCAAAACGAGACTGAGTTTGCTCAAAAATCGCTCCAACCTCCACTCACACCTGTGCACTCCTGCAAGCCAAGATGACTCATTGCTCGTGCTATGCAGCTTGGCGAGCATTTGCGCACTTCGACTTGTCGTGCAAGCATGTAAGTTGTCCACGCGCCAGGCAGACGCGGGTATCTGCGCCGGAGCGAAGATGGAGCCGGCGTCGAATCCCAGAACATGCAGAGCCTACGGGACGCTTGGAAGCGGGCATTCCCGAAACCTTCAAAGGTCGCAGACACCCGAGCCCGAGCCCAGGAGCCGGGAGGTCAGCGGATGGTCCTCCACGGGCGTGTCGGTGCGAGCTCACGTGCGCTGCATGAAGATGGAGCGCCTCGGGAAAAGACTGGCCAGAGGCAGCTGGGACAAAGCCGTGTGACCTCACGTGTTTCTGCGGTCTCCGAGGTACGTCCGCAATCTCCAGGTCGTCACATCCAGCGGTGCCAGCTACAGCTCCTCGGATGCAGTGCTTGCAGATACGCGAAATCCCGCAGAGCAGAAGGCGACAAGCAAGGAAAGCAAGTCACGAAGCTGAAAGCAGAACTGGACCACCGCGAAGTACCGAGGAAGACGAGTAATCCAAGTAACTGATGCAAGCCCTATGAGAAATGAGGCTTTCTGCAGGGCGCGGCTGCAGCTGGCGACAACTTCTCGCAGGATGCCATGGAAGCGGACGAAGGGGACATAGACCTTGAGGTAAGTTCACAGCTCAGTTCACTTGGCTGCTAGTACTATTTTCAGATGCGACCGCGACCGGTTGTTACGGTGTTGCGGGTCGAATCCAAGGTCTGGACGCTGATGGTCATGCCCGCGAGGAAGACGAGGAGGCTGCATGCCTTCTCTTGGGAGCAGACTACTTGGACATGCGCATCCGGCAAGGCCACGGAGCTCGATCTCGGTGGAAGCCTCGGCATCCAAGAAGGCAGAAGCTGGGATGGGATCCTCCCGTCCTACCTAAGGCGACAGCGAGGAAGCCGATGAAGCTGATGAAGCTGAAGTCGACGATTCGGATGCTGAAGCTGCTGGGACTGCTGAGACTCTGCCATGCCAGTGGCAGTCGCAGCCCCAAGCCAAACTTTGGCACATCATCCCAGGTTGACTCCGAAGATGAAAGTGAGCCTTCCGAGGACCCGAATGCTGGTGTTCATCTGATTCATCTCATGCGCTTCGTTGAACTTGCGACAGAGGAGTCTCAAGAGGTCGCTAGTGACCGGCAGTGACAAACAGCATTGATAAATGGACGCATTTTGGTGTTCTGCATGTGTCCCCTTTCCCAGAGACCCGAATGTGGAACCATTCGGATGGGGCACCCGGATTGGGATAATTTGCTGTGGACTGTTTCCAAGGTCTTCCATGGGCAAGAGTGTTTGGACAGTGTTGCAGTGTTCCGGAAGTGTTGCGAGAGGATCCTGGTGCCCGAGCACAGGCTGTGACCCTAGACACATTTTGCACTTTCCAACCAGCGATTGTTGCGAAATTCTTCTGGTGGCCCGAGTGCGAGGGCCCGTTCCGAAATACGTTTGGAACAACCTCACATGTTCACATTGCTTTAGGCATGACTCTTAAGAACGATTTCTCAAAGCAGTATTCCGTGAAATTTGATTGTTCGCAACCGCCTCTGCCTCTTACCGACCCTGTTCAATCTTTTATGGACTGCGTGTTGTATATGGCCAGGACGAGGATGACGAGATGGTGCCATTCAACTCGGAGCACGGCGTTGTGCTGGCCCAAGAAGGCATGGAGTCAGGCCGGGCCTATGCAAGCCGACAGGTTGCAACCGTTTTATGTAAATCTCATGCTGCTGCTTCGTGGTTGTGTAGTGCAAAGTGTAGCGCGGCGTGACATGCACGAGCGGCAGCTGCAAGTGAATCGCAGCTGCTGTCGCTCGAGATTTCCAAAGATTTTTTCAGTGCTCTTTTCACCTCGCGTTGCTGACTTGCAAGTCGTGCTCTTAGGTTGGCTAGGGTGTGCAAGCCACAGAGTAGGTCCTTACCACGACAGGGTTTACGTGCACACTGACAAGCTTTCCAACCACAACGACAAGCTTGATTCTTACACTGACAAGGGCGTAGGCTCAACCCTAGCGGTGTGTGCTCGTGTGGACTTGAGTTGAGAACTTTGCCATTCTTATCGATCATACACAAGGTTAGGAAGTAACTCTGCTTCATTCAGTGTGCTTCTGTAAGCGGGAATCCCCACTTTGCCGTTTTCACAGCCCAAATCCTCCAAAATAGTGATTCCCCCACGTGTAAGCGGGGCAACGTGCAGGAATCACCATTTTTTCACACTTTTAAGGCTCAAACCTTCCAAAATGGTGATTCTCCCGCGTGTTTGGGGAGGCCAAGGGGGAATGTTCGAAACAAGGTCCCTTGCGGTAAGCGGGGACGACGCGCGGGAATCACCGCTCAGAGCCTAAATCCTCCAAAATAATGATTCCCCCGCTTGGGAGAGGCGGGTATAGGGGGAACGCACGGGAATCAACCTTTTGTCATTTTCACAGCCTAAATCATCCAAAATAATTCCCCTCGCGTATCGGAGAACGGCGAGCACGGGGACCGGCGTGCGGGAATCACACTTTTTGCAGCTTCAAGGCTCAAATCTTCCAAAACGGTGATTCCCCTGCAGGGGACGCGGCTGGAAGCGATGTACCAGTATTCAAGCCTGAAGACAGTTTGTTAACAAGGAGTGTGGGGAGCAAAGGCGGAACGTGTGGAGACTGCAAGTCGGCGCGACCGTGATGCGTGTCCTGTGGCTTGTTTGGGCATGCAAATACGAAAAAGAACAAGCTGGAAACAGTAGTGTCAGTAATGTGCCACAAAGTTGTGCCTGGTCGTTGTTTTCATGGGGCGGGCTTGATGTCAACGATGCCAAAAACTGTAGTTGTTGGTGACCCCTGAAAGAGGCACAAAGGCAAAATTTCAAAGCATGATGGAGAACTGCCCTCCAAACTCATAATGTGTTCTGCACAATCTCGTACCCCAATCACTTTGCAACACCGTCCACGAAAATTCTGATAGCGAGCCTCCGGTATGGCGTCGTTGTAGCTGGGTGAAAAGTCACATCGTCCGGCTGCGTAGCAAGAATTTGTATGTCTTTTTGAAGGGAACTCACTGATGCTGATATGTGCTGCTGCTGCCGCCTTGTCGAGGTGAGTTTTTCATGAGCTGTCGCGGTAATTTTGTTTTTCTGTCGTGGTGCCAACATTTCTTGTGATGGTGCTGTTCGAGCCGAGATGCGAGATCAGACTCATTTATGCGAGATCGGATGCAATTCGTTGCCTACCGATTTGAATCCAAAATAGATGTCTTTCTCTTGTGCGTCAGTGAGATGTTTGTGCAGTTTCCGGCGTGCAATCGTGGCGCCGGCGCCGGCGACGCCGCTAACTTGGCAAGGATATATGAGCTTTTACTGTAATCTTGTCATTGCTCGTGTCCGTTTGCGTCAGTTCGGGCATGCGCCTGAGGTCGCCGCAGACGTAGGCGCAGAAGACGCGCCAGGCGGCTTTCAAGTCGGATCGGTTTAAAGAAGATTGTTGGCATGGGGTCTCAGTTGACCTTTCGCAGTGTGTCTTCCGGCAATTAGAACTGATGCAGAAAGACAGGCGCAGACGCGCCCGCCGCAGACGTTCTCGGCGCAGACGCACGTTGCCGGCGGAGGCAACAAGGATGTTGGCACATCTGTGATTTCCTCATGCCACGCATGTCAATGTGTCAATGTCACTCAGGTGTCTGCGGGGTGTCCAAGCGGGAAGCGACACTTGGCAAGATGGTGTGCGGGGAGCATCTTGTTTGGGTCGAAAGAACACGGGTCAAGGACTCCTCTCCTGCTCATGCTATCCGGACAACTTCCTGGAGAAACAGGGCCATTGGACTGACGTCCGCCATCACTGCAAGCGGGTCTGGAGGAGTGGTGATAGTTGCAGGGCGAAAGGCACCTGCGAGCAAGTGGTTGCGTATCTTGTTTTTTTTTGTCATCCTATGATTGCAGCATGGTGCTGAGGCTCAGTCACAGTCTTGTTCGGGTGCAATCAGGTGGATATGCTCAAGCTTTGTGCGGAAAGCTCGATGATCCGGCAGCTCGCGAACCCTGGCTGGAGAGGGCTGTTAGATGAGAGCCTGGGTTTAGATAAATGCACCGAGGACTGGGAGGATCGCTCAGCCGAGGGCTGGTACTGGTCGAACAAAGAGGATGGGACTGAACGGTTCTACAGGTCCTCGCTTCCGCATGCACTAAAAACACACACTCCACACTAAAGCACCACAACATGCGATGTCGTGTGCACTGCAGCCATTCACAGCTGGAAGAGTATGCATGTGCTTGGTTTGTAAGTATTGTGTTGCAGGGTTTACGGGCCTCTAAGATTCTTGCCATGCGCCGCAGGAGGGTCCGGTGGCAACCTGTCCTTCTCCGAAGGTCCTGGTTGGGTGCTGGTGCCAGTCGCTGAGCAGTTCCGAGAAGGAGTGCGCTCGTCTCTGGACGGATGGTAACAGCTGCCGTGCCAGAACGGGCCCCGGGAGAGTTAATACAGGCCCCGCTGCCAAAGTAACTACCGACTTGGTCAAAAGCTAGGTAAAGCATGTATGCGTTCGAAGGAATTATATTTTCCGATCTATTCTATCTATCTATCTACCGACCCTGTTTTTGTTTGCTTACCCGCCTGCCTACCGCCTGCCTACCTGCCTGCCTGCCTGCCTAACTCTGTTGAGCTGCCTGCCTCCCGACCCGCCTACGAACCTACCTGCTATCACTAGTTTGGGAGACGATGGGTGCAACCACCAGAATTGACGTCATTTGAACACGCCTGGCTGTTGACTGCCCCTGTGCAGTTCGTCCCAGAATCAAGATCTTCGCCCGCTGCGCGGACGTCCGGTCATCTTCTCTCATTCTCGCTGGCATCAACCTGACGCGGGTCGTGTCCAGCAATCTTCTCCAGGATGTGCCTGCGAAGACCGACTCTGTGGCAATGTCAAAGTCCTTTCGTTACGTGCACTTGTTCCAGCAGTGTGATGCCCTGCTGCTCATGGGTGGGATTGGGGTGGAGCACTGTGCTCGGCCCGCTTACCGCGAGCCTGGCTCCCATGTCTGGCGCGGAAAGCGGCCCCTGCCCTCCAGCTTCCTGCATGGCACGGAGCTGAACGTCGCTTGTTGGCAGGAGCGCTATCAGTCCTTCCGCGCAGGCTACCGCCATGCTACCGAGACTCTGCACTGTGTGAACGGAGACTGGTACAACTCCTTGCAGCTTCCTGAACTGACAGCCTTCTCTTGTGAGCCATGCGTTCTCGTCGCTGGGAAAGGACTCCTGGCAATATCGTGTAAGTTTTCAGGTTCTTCCTGGAGTCGAAATCTGTGTAGGATCCGTTTGAAGCTGGAGCATGGTGAAAGAAAGGATTCAACCGAGGTTACACCAACTACGCGAAGAGGAATCAGCAAGAACTCTATTACTTCAGCCGGATGGCATTGCGCGTGTACACTGAGTTGGGTTCTCTGGCAGCCACGCATGGTGCCGCGCAGACGTACTGCCTCATGAAGGGCTCCGGTGGCACCTCAGCCACTCGGCGTGTTGAAAATGTCGTTTGAGGTCTCTACTGGAAGGGCCCTTGCGAGCTTCCGTGACTGTCTAATTAAGGCAGGTGGCAACATGACGCTTATGGCCGCATCCAGTTGTCCCGAAATCCTGGCCATGCAAGTTGCCCGGCACTGCAGATGATGCAGACTTGCACATATATAGATGTCGGGTAGTCGGGCAGTCCATGGCAGTCCCGCAGTGCAGGTTGTGGGCTCGGCCGAAGTCGAGGACCGCATGATGGCTCTGCTGGACTTTGGCATCCCGGACTCCGGCTTCTGCTGCTGGCTTATCTTCCTTACCCGCGTTTGTGACGCATGCGGACTTCAGGTTACTCGAGGTGCCACTTAGAGACTTAGACTCAGGCCTCGAAGCGGTGCCTGGGAGCGATGGTGTCAGCCCCAGCCTGGCCTACAAGAGACTTGTCGTGCAGGGACCATGGTGGGCCGCGGTTCGCACGTCTTCGCACCATGTCACTATCGTCATAGACCGTCATGTTGGTGTTAGGAAATGTGATCTGGAGAACGCGCAGCAGCTCATTTCGCCAATGGCCGTACCTGGTGTTATGTGGGATATGCACAAGGAGGGACTTGGGAACGGGAGTGAAGCTGAGTGCACGTGGCCGCCTGTCAGGAATCGGACCGCACTCTGGGTGAGGATTTCCACAAGGCCCGTACCAGCAGCGCCCGGGTCTTTTCCCTCCCTCCTCGGATGAGGCCTACGGCTCCTACTGCGGAGCCCATGGAGCCTTGGCCTCGCTGGCCTTCGGCCAGGTCTTCGGAGGCAAGTGCCGCCAAAAAGCGCACGTGTGCTCCCCCTTCCTCCTTCCTCCTCCTCCCACAAGGAGACACCTCGCTGTCGTCCACGTGCCAGTTCGCGCCAGTGATCAAGTTCGGAGCTTCGCATGCAGGGAGGGCTCGGCTCTGGGCGTGCAAACGAGCTGGGTCCAAGGAGAATGGATGGACACGGCGATCACCTACGACAAGCGATCTTCGGACTGGCCTGAATGGAACACGCTCTTGGCCGACTTCCCGGTACTATGTGCAGATGGAGAAGCTCTCACGGGCTTCAAGCTTCTGCCTGCACGCAACATCTTCCGGCAGCTTGCCAGCAAGGGAAGTTGTGAGTTTCAGGGTTTTCCCGGTCAGTTTCGGTGTTGAGTTTCGGGTCCGGCCCTTTGTCAGTTTCGGATCAGAACCTCGCAAAACCCCCCCCCCCCCCGGCACCCCGAAACTGACCTCCGGCCGATCCGAAACTGACCCCCGATCCGAAACTGACGCCCGCCGATCCGAAACTCAGCCCCGAAAATCACCCGCCTTGATCCGAAACTACCCCCATGCAGATCCGAAACTAGAACCCCGAAACTAGGGATACCCGCTGCTAGAATAATTTGGGCTTGCATGATTTGTGTGTCATGTGTCTCTGTGCTATAGCTGAGGTTCGAGTGCAGCCGCATCGGTGGGCTGGGACAGACCTTCGAGTACTTCAGTGCCCAAGTGGAGGTGAAGAAGTTTGACCAGAGGAAATCAAATTGGATAAATGCACTGCAGCTCGGGCTATTTTGACATGCGCTGACACTGAAGGGTCAGACTGAGACTGTGACTGGCGGAGCCGAGGCGGATGATCAAGGTGGATTGTGGTGCCGATGCCTTGCTCAGCGGCTTCCACTTCGAGTTCTCCGAGGGTGGACGCTGGGCCCGCTCTAAGCGCCTCGGACGGGCACCGAAGATTCGCCTGCCGGGGCCAGGCGATTCGACCTAGGCGCCCCTTCGCCCCGCGCTCAGGTACACTTGTGCAAAAGCCGGCGGCGCCCCTGTTGTCATGGAGCCCTCCACGACCATCGAAAGCATGACGCAAGCTCCGGAAGGCCCCAACACAGCGTTCGCTCGCTCTCTGCTCTCTCCCTGTCCGTGCGCCGTTCTCTTCCTAACCACTGCTCGCTCTCGCTCTCGCTCTCGCTCTCGCTCTCGCTCTCGCTCTCGCTCTCGCTCTCGCTCTCGCTCTCGCTCGCTCTCCCTCTCTCTCCCCCTCTCTCTCTCTCT